CAAGGTGTTCAGACCAACAAACTAACATATAGTATAAAACAGCAGAAAATACTCATGATACCCTCGAATTCTGCTTACTGTAAGTAGCCTACAGTAAAAGTACTTAGTTATAATGAAGTACACAAATGACATGTGCTTTTAAATGTTCCTCATTATGCCTGTGTCCTCTTTGTGTTGCATGATGGGAGAGGAGCAGTTCATCTGCATCCTGCTGAGGATGAGGAGCCTTTGATAGCAGGGGATGTGAAGGCTGACATTTACAGAGGAAGGGGGGGGGGGGCTGAGAGAGGGTTTTGTTCTACACCTGTTTGTTTGAAAGACAAGAGAGGAGGTGAGAATAAAGACGGAGTCGCTTTGACCCTCTGCATGTCACTCAGAGTCATTACAGTCTGCTGTGAGGGGGGGTTTCATTAGTATCATTGTATCTGTTCTCTTACTTTAAAAAACAACCGTAATTGGGAGAAAATACGTTGACATTTCTACTCAATAACTAAAATACCCTGATTTCCAACCTGATGAGTCAGACTGGGATCCACCGGTCGTTTGGAGGGCGGCTTCTCTCACGGTTCACCGGTCGTTACGTAACCGCGTACTTGAAGTTAACCTCTGAGCGGGAAGAGTTACGTAACGCTCCTGTTGGCCTGGATTTCATGTGGAACTTTAAAAGGAGCAGAGAGAGGAAAGGTTGGACCGTTAACAAATGTGTGATATTGTGGAGTCTGCAGGAGAGGGAGAAGTACTCAGATCTTGTATAGTAAAAGTAGAAGTACTCAGATCTTGTATAGTAAAAGTAGAAGTACTCAGATCTTGTATAGTAAAAGTAGAAGTACTCAGATCTTGTACTTGAGTAAAAGTAGAAGTACTCAGATCTTGTTCTTGAGTAAAAGTAGAAGTACTCAGATCTTGTACTTGAGTAAAAGTAGAAGTACTCAGATCTTGTACTTGAGTAAAAGTAGAAGTAATCAGATCTTGTTCTTGAGTAAAAGTAGAAGTACTCAGATCTTGTACTTGAGTAAAAGTAGAAGTACTCAGATCTTGTACTTGAGTAAAAGTAGAAGTACTCAGATCTTGTACTTGAGTAAAAGTAGAAGTACTCAGATCTTGTTCTTGAGTAAAAGTAGAAGTACTCAGATCTTGTACTTGAGTAAAAGTAGAAGTACTCAGATCTTGTACTTGAGTAAAAGTAGAAGTACCAGAGTGTAGGAATACTCTGTTACAGTAAAAGTCCTGCATTAAAAATGTTACTCAAGTAAAAGTAGAAAAGTATTCTCATCAAAATATAGTGAAAGTAGCAGTAAAAGTAGTCATTGTGCAGATTGGTCCATTTCAGAATAATATATATGATATGTTTTATAATGATTGATCATGAAAGTGTTCTCAAAGCTGGTAAAGGTGCAGCTAGTTTGAATGACTTTGTATACTGCAGGGTAGCTTGTGGATTTACTCCAGGTGGAACTAAAGTCTGATTTAACACTTGATCATATTTCACATCATTCATCCACATCTGTGAAGTAACTAAAGGTATTAAATACATGTAGTGGAGTACAAGTACAAAGTAGCATAACATGGAAATACTCAAGTAAAGTATTTGAGTAAATGTACTTAGTTACCTCTGGAAGAATGTGTGCGGGCGATGAAGCATGGATGTTGAGTTTCCCTCGGTGTCCTTCTCTGGATCTTCATTAGCATACAAAAGGCTTCAGAGTGTTTGACATGAGGAAGCATCGGAGCTAACGAGTGTCAAACGGACGGATATTAGACGAGAAGCTTGATCAGAAATACATAAGATTTAAAAATGCTCAAAGGGTTGATTGTCCTGCACCATATCTGCAGCAATCTGAAGTCCCAGGCTCTTCAACATGCACTAATTAAGTGAATAAAGAAACACAATAGTGCCTTAAAATAGTGCAAATTAAATAATAATACAAGTTCAATTCAATGATAAGCAGAATAAAAGCTTTTCTCTGTCTCTTGGAATCACTTTCTGTTATTTATACATGTTTTATGTCATAAAATAACAAAAAGCAGACGTATATTAAAGACTACACAGGTAAAGAAATGTTTGCAGACTAGTTTAAGAGACACAGAGGTGCAAGTAAACTGCAGGAATAAGTACAAATACATTAAAAAGATCAAACTGAATGTGAAATTAAAAACTGGAGAGTATAATAAATACACAATACTGTAATAATATATAAATATGTAGATTTTACGATCACAATTCTTTATTTATCCGGGTTAGTTGCTCCTTTTTTAGAATAAAAACCTTAACATAAGAAGTAAAAGTAAGAATATGCAATAGTATTAAATAAATATATTTATATACGCATCATTTTATGGAAAGAGATGTGTGTGTTATGAATATTTTTCATTGAATTGTTTATTTGAACCAGGACAGTGCACATTAATGAACATTTTAAACAAAATAATGTTTTTAAATGTAAATGAGCCGGATTTTAGCTTTGAGCTAGTTTCCATCCGTAGTCCCGTCACATACAACATTTATGAACATAACATTTATATACATGGCAAACAGAAATACATGATATATAAATAGTGCATTAAACACATTTGACTTCAGTTCATTACAATAAGTAGGTTTCTGTGTCACCGACCCTGCACACGATGACGTGAGATGAGCGAATCAATGAATCAATGAATCAATGAATCAATGAATCAATGAATCAATGAATCAATGAATCGACGTCTGAATCCAAACAGCTGAGTTTAATTGGAGGGAGAATGAGATCAGACGCATCAGAGAGACTTTACGGGGAATCAGTGACGAGAACAGAGAGAGGGACAGAGAGAGGAGAGGAGGACACATATCACTGTAACACTGCAGAGAGTATCAGCTGTCAAACTGAGGATGGTTGTTATTCACATTTTTAGTTTGATCAATATGTTATTTATTATCTGAGGAATACATATTGGTGTATGTAGAGTGTCAGAAAAAGGTGATGAAAAGTGATATTATAGTATGTAAAAAAACGTCATGGAATTGTATGTCGAAACAAAAATACTATTATATCAGAAAATACCAAAATATATGAAAATAAGTCATAGTATAAAAATATCAGAAAAAACTTCATGGTACAGTTTGTAAAAAAAATGTCAAAGTATAGTGTTTCGAAAACATCAAATAAAATATCAGAGTACAGTATTACCAAACATTTCTAAAAATAAGAGAACATGAAAAGAAAAAATGAGTTTATCCCAAAAATATATATAGTTCTGGTAAAGCATCTCCAAAATATCAGAACAGTACCGTGTGTTTTCAATGTGATTACCTCCAGAGAAAGGAGCTGCACAGTGTGTGTGTTCAGTGTGTGTTCAGTGTGTGTTCAGTGTGTGTTCAGTGTGTGTTCAGTGTGTGTTCAGTGTGTGTGTGTTCAGTGTGTGTGTGTTCAGTGTGTGTTCAGTGTGTGTTCAGTGTGTGTTCAGTGTGTGTTCAGTGTGTGTTCAGTGTGTGTTCAGTGTGTGTTCAGTGTGTGTTCAGTGTGTGTTCAGTGTGTGTTCAGTGTGTGTTCAGTGTGTGTTCAGAGTGTTTGTGTTCAGTGTGTGTGTGTTCAGTGTGTGTGTGTTCAGAGTGTGTTCAGAGTGTGTTCAGTGTGTGTGTGTTCAGTGTGTGTGTGTGTGTGTGTGTTCAGAGTGTGTGTGTTCAGTATGTGTTCAGTGTGTGTTCAGTGTGTGTTCAGTGTGTGTTCAGTGTGTGTTCAGTGTGTGTTCAGAGTGTGTTCAGAGTGTGTTCAGTGTGTATGTTCAGTGTGTGTTCAGTGTGTGTTCAGAGTGTGTGTGTTCAGAGTGTGTGTGTTCAGAGTGTGTTCAGTGTGTGTTCAGTATGTGTTTAATGTGTGTGTTCAGTGTGTGTTCAGTGTGTTGTTCAGTGTGTGTTCAGTGTGTTGTTCAGTGTGTGTGTGTTCAGTGTGTGTGTGTTCAGTGTGTGTGTGTGTGTGTGTGTTCAGTGTGTGTTCAGTGAGAAATAATGATACAAATCAACTAAATAATTACGTGGAAGCTGGAAAGGAAATGGAATAAATAAAGTTATTAAAACATATAATTGAAAATTCAACACAACAGAAATGGGGTGAAGCCTGCGAGCTAGTTCAGGCAGTCAACTCGAGCACCAATCATACATTAACACGTGACGCACCTCGTCCCTCTTACAACCAACCAAACACATTCTCCTAAACATGCTGCTCTATTTAAGCTGCCAGGTCTTCCTGCATCTGCCTCGCTATGCTGCTGCTGCTGCTGCTGTGTTCACTTGCTATTGCTACGTTCATGTTCCTGCTGCTGTGTTTCATGTTGCTGCTGCTCGCCTGCCCCACCACCACCCCAGCTTCAGTTTGTCTCACATGCCTCCCCAAGGAACAAAGTAACCATTAACCGAGGAACGTTTTGATGTATTGAAGTAAAAGAAGGCAAAACTAAATCAGAACTTTAAATAATCCAATTCTCCTTCATCCAGCCTTAAAGGTGGGGTAGGTAATTCACTTCAGAAACTCTTTTTGTTATATTCCATGGAATGCTCTTAACATCCCGATAGCAATGAATATATTAAATGCTTTGACAATAAATACATAAAAAAATGTCATCTGTGGAAGCCGTAGTACTGTAAAAAGCACAACCAATCATCTGAGCCGGCCCGGCTAAAATAACTGGATGGCCTACCTGCCTGTCAGCCTTCCATCTGTGCACAAACTTATCTCGTGCCCTCATTGGTCATGTGCGCGTCCGTGTGTGTTGGAGGAGGGGCTCTGTAAGGAAGTCTGAAGGAAGGGGCAGATTTGTTTCGGCAGCGTACTTTCAAATTCTATCGCACTCGAGCTGGTTTCTCCATTCTTACCTACCCTACCTTTAAGTTCATTTCCTCCCAAACACATGCATTTTCTCCAGAACCAGTAAAAACTCTGGCTTGTCCGGGCAAGTATTTTGCAGAAGCATGAGACTGCTCTACGACAAAATAGAAAAAGATACATGGAGACGTTATTGTGAGAATGCACGTGAGAGGGAAGTAATGAGCATAGGACTGGACAAATGAGAGGGATTATTCTGCACAAGAGTTTGTTAGCAGACGTTTAAATATAGTTATGATGCTGTTAAACGCAGTATCCATTTACATTGATATTTTCCCAGGCTTCAATGTCGAGTGCACAACCGCTCCAGCATATTTAAAAATGTTAGTGAGCTCAAGAGTTCAACAGTCTTATGGCCAGTGAGATAAAACTGTCTCTGAAACTGGTAAATAAAACATATATTTATATAACTCATATAATACTCTTTGTCTTCCCAGGTGACCCCGGTCTTTGTCAACCAGCAGAACGCCTCTCAGGTCCAAACGCAGGCCATCTCTCTGGACCTGCTGAAGGCTAACGGCACCCCCACGCTGGTTACCGACAGCAACGGAAACCACTACCTGATCGCTCTGACCAATCACAGCGCAGAGGGGCAGAACGGAGGGTCCTCATTGGCCAAACCCAACAGTCGCATCACACTGCAGGTACGGGGGAAACTTCATATTGTTGAATGGACTGAACGTGGTTAATAATCAGTGATGAGATATTCATTTCTCTGCTTGTTGTTACAGAGGTTACAGTCGACTCCGACTAAACTGCCCAGCACTGACAGCCAATCAAAAGAGCCGCCAGAGGCCGAGCCAATCAAAAAGGTACGTCATAAATATTTTTTTGCTTTTTTATGGAACTTTTTCGCCTTTTATTTGAAAGGGAGAAGCTGGAAATGAAACACTTTTTTTGTATTTTATTTCATTCTGCGTCTTGTGCAAAGTAACCTATTCTTTTGTTTGAATGTATTATATAATATTATAATAGACACTGATGCATAAGCTTAAGGCTTGAGAACACACGAGATGCCTTTATCTCAGGAAATCATTTAAAATAAATTACAAGACATTTTGGCTCACTCCCAAAAAGCGTTTATATGATCCTCAGCTTTCTTTTCACCACATTTTGAAGTGTCCTTGATAATATCTACCAAATAATTGTAATGTAAGACTAAAGGACAGTTTCATCCCACGGGCCATAAGACCGTTAAACACCTGAACTTTTGAAAGAACATCCATAACATTCATCTGCAACTTATATATCAATATTCCAATTACTTGCATATAGACTATTCTGCACTATTTCTATTATATTATATTTTATTTGTATTTACTTGCACTATTTTATCAGTTGTATTGTGTTGCTCTGTTGGAGGAGCCTGAGACCTAAGATGTTCATTGTCATATCTACTGTATCTCTGTACACATGCCAATAAAAGCCTTGAACCTTGAGATGTGCTTAAGGACTGTTGAATCTAATGAGCAGTTCATCTTCCTGCCACAAGGTGTCGCCACCAACACAGTTAAACATCATTTCTGTGAACCAGCAGCAACGAGCCAATCACAATTTATATTCAACATATAATAATAATAATAAACCTGTCTGTATCCACTTCAGGTGGAGAAGGCGGGGCTTCACCTGGACACCAACGTCTCCCCTCAGCCCAGCCTGTCCGCCCCCCCCAGCCTGCAGCCGTTCTTCGACGACATGTCGGACTCGGAAAGCCAAAGCAGTTTGATCTCCTCTCTGAAGGTAAACTCTTCTTCCTCTTCCTCCTCCTCCTCCTCAGCAGAGGTGGGAAGTAGTGGAGTACAAATACTTCGTTACTGTACTTAAGTACATGTTTCTGGTATCAGTACTTTACTCCACTACTTATTTTTCTGACGTCTTTTTACTTTGATTTCTTACATTTTGAACACAAATACCTTTACTTTCTACTTCTTACATGTTGAACACAAATACCTGTACTTTCTACTTCTTACATGTTGAACACAAATACCTGTACTTTCTACTTCTTACATTTTGAACACAAATACCTGTACTTTCTACTTCTTACATGTTGAACACAAATACCTGAACTTTCTACTTCTTACATGTTGAACACAAATACCTGTACTTTCTACTTCTTACATTTTGAACACAAATACCTGTACTTTCTACTTCTTACATGTTGAACACAAATACCTGTACTTTCTACTTCTTACATTTTGAACACAAATACCTGTACTTTCTACTTCTTACATTTTGAACACAAATACCTGTACTTTCTACTTCTTACATGTTGAACACAAATACCTGTACTTTCTACTTCTTACATGTTGAACACAAATACCTGTACTTTCTACTTCTTACATGTTGAACACAAATACCTGTACTTTCTACTTCTTACATTTTGAACACAAATACCTGAACTTTCTACTTCTTACATGTTGAACACAAATACCTGTACTTTCTACTTCTTACATGTTGAACTCAAATACCTGTACTTTCTACTTCTTACATGTTGAACTCAAATACCTGTACTTTCTACTTCTTACATGTTGAACACAAATACCTGTACTTTCTACTTCTCTCATTTCCCAAACAGGCTGGTTCCTTTAGTTTGAATGTGTGTTTGGTGGCGTGATCATTATTATTTAGAGTCATTGCGTGCCTATTGATTTGAACACGATCCGTGTATCCATCATTTCCTGGTCTTCTCTAAAGAAGAGGGACCAATGAAAACGTTGTCATGTTGCCGTTGTTCAGCATGGAAACATTCATTAGCTAACAATGACATTATTGTTCTATTAATATAAAGGGAGGTCAGGTACTCTTTAAAACAGCTGCTAGTTATGGGTACTTTTTACTGAAGTACATTTCAAAGCCCTCTTTACTTTTACTTGAGTAAAGAACTTTAGTCAGTACTTCTACTTTCACCAGAGTATTTTTAAACACGAGTATCTGTACTTCTACTTGAGTACAGGATGTGTGCCATCTCTGTTCCTCAGATACTCTCCTCCATCTTCTCCACCTGTTGTTTCACCTCATTAACTTTTCTCTTGTTTCTTCTCTTCTTCCTCTCCTCCCCCCTCAGAGAGAGGAGGTGTGTTACGACCGACACACACTCTTCACCCCCCCCCTCCCCCAAACACAACTCCTCCCTCTCTTCCAAGCGCTCCAAAGTACGTCCTCTTTCCTCCGTCTGTCCTTTAGTGTCGTCCTGTGTCTGTCTCTGCCTCCATGTTCCCTCTCACTCTGAGCTCTGTGCTTACTGAACTGAAGGAAGTTGGAAGATTGTTTATTTTATGATTGTGTCATAGTGATAGAAATGTTAGCGTTAAAATGTTTTTAATTATAAATTAATATTATTTTCCACACTTGTCTTTAGAGTTAAATCCCTTCTACCTACCTGATACCTGAACTACAAATATTCATTCATTTTAAGGCTTTTCATGTATTTATCAATCACTTTTAAGGTAACGTCACTTGTGTTTTATGAAAACAAAAACGCAATAACGTTTATATTTTCTTTATACTTCCTTATAGGGGGAAATGTTTGAATTATCATATGATAATAATCAATTTTCCACAGAGAGAGGCGAAGTCGCGCCCATCTACTTCCGCCCCATGGGACCTTATTTCGGAAGAATTATGTATTGAAGTCAATGGGGAGAGAAAGATTATCTCTCGATCCCGTTTGAATTGTGCCACGAATTACACATATGATGTTTGTCAATTTTAAAAAATAATTTCCATGTCAAAAAGGTCACAGTTTGTCGTAAAACTGTTGAAATATAAGACTATGAAAAATAGGCAACTAGAAAGACTACAAATCCCAGAGTCCTGGTCCCGCATGCTGGCTCTTAGGAACCGACTAACTCCCCTTGTGTGTATGTACAGCTCTCAACATGCCCAGACTTGGAGTGATTTTCACCTCTTTTAATACTTTCCGCCTCATTCTGAAAGAAAGAAGTGAAATGTGCCAACGTGACGGCCGTCTTGGTGTGTGGTGCGAGACGGGAGATGTAGTTCATTGAGCGGTTTCACACAAAGAAAAGTGTTACTTCACAGTTTTACGACACATTTTTTATTTGTTTGACTTGCAAAATTATCTTTTAAATTGACAAACATCATATGTGTAATTCGTGGCACAATTCAAACGGGATCGAAAGATAATCTTTCTCTCTCCATTGACTTCAATGCATAACTTTTCAGAAATAAGGTCCCATGGAGCTCCCCCGGAAAGGGAGGGACTTCGCCTCTCTATAGTTCGACATGTCAATGATAAACAACAACAATCTGTTGGAAGGAAGACAATAAAACTACAATTTTGAAGTAAAATCTACAGATTTGAAGCCGGTAGTTTAATAAACACCCTGTAATGTCTTTGGTATTTCAGGAAATAAAAAAATAAAAAAATGAACCGATAAGTTAAACTTCCAATATCATGTATTACATTAGCAGTGCTTGATGTGTGATTGGTGGCTGATGGAAACGGTTGTGTTTCAGCAGGAGAACGGCGTCAACAGTCAGCAGATGGACGACCTGTTTGACATCCTGCTGAAGAGCGGAGGTAAAAAAACTTTATTGAAACACTAACGGCAAACAAACACACTTGATGAGTCTCCTGTTCTGACATCATTTCTCTGTCCTCGTCAGAAATCCCCGGCTTCAAAGGCCACCCGGACCCCTCCCTCGCCCCTCTCCACTCGGACCCTCCCTCTCCAGCCTCTCCTCCGTCTCCCCTGCTCCTCCACCTGTCCCCCCCCACCCCTCCCTCTCCCCTCGCCTCCCCCCCCTCCTCCTCCTCCTCCAGCGCGCGTCTGGAGGACTTCCTGGAGAGCTCGACGGGGAACCCCCTGCTGGGCGTTGAACCTGATGGCGGTCTCACTCTGATCCACGACCTCCACAGCCAGATGCTCAGCACTTCCAGCATTTTGGACCCTCACGCCCCCTCCCCCATGGACACCTCAGATCTGGGCTTCTCCCCACACCCTGCTGGGCTGGATTTCGACAGCATGGACTGGCTGGACATCTCCATGGTGAGAGGAGGGAGTGGAGGAGGCAGTAATGGAGGAGAGGAGACCAGTTTAGCTCCTCTGGTGCCTCACACCCCCCCCGAGCGTTTTCTCCACCGACTTCCTGGACGGATCGGACCTGCAGCTGCACTGGGAGTCGTGTCTGTAGCCTCCTCCATCTTTTTTTTCCGTGCACAAACAGAAACATTTCTTATGCTGTCTCTACCACTGCGAGGGGGCACTGACACATGTAGCGTGATGAAGGGGGGGGGGGGTCTACGGTGGGAAACGCACTTTCGAAAACGATGCATATGTAAAAAGAGAAATGTGACAAAACATGCAAGTGTTTCGGCGCATTTGTGTTTTTCTATTTGCGCCGTTGCAGCGCGTTTGCACCAGCTTGAGGAGGGGGAAACCTACGGTGGCTCACAGGGGGCAAACGCACTATTGAAAACGATGCAAATATAAAAACGGGATCCGGTTTAAATCCCCTGCTTTATAACCAGGTCACTGTAATGCAACATGCGAAACATTTCACTGGTTTAACGAGAGGAGTGTGTGTGTGTGTGTGTGTGTGTCAGTGCCTCCTAAACTTTGCACTTATGCTGAATCTGATTGGTTTGTAAAAAAAAAAAGTGTGTTCAAACTGATCTCTGCCCACACTAGTGGAAAAGAAAACGCGGTCATTATTTGACTTTTTGAGAGGAAACCATATCGGTGGCACCAGTGTATTATTGGTAACATTGTGGTAGACCACTATGTATTGCTGTATATGGGGTGTATATTATCAATTGTCCATACGACTTATTTTTTCTTTGCTGGTTGCTTTAGAGTCGAGCTCGCCGGCTGGGGATCATAGGCTGAGGGAGGGGCTCCGAAACACTTGGACCTTGTCATTTTTTTAAAGAAAAACTGTAAAAAAATAAATAAACATACTATAAAAAAACTCACAGGATGCGTCTGTTTTCATTTGTCACAATTAAAGGTATTATAGTTATACTCATAACTAAAATAATAACCTTTTTTCAAAAAATAGTTAAACTCATTTGGGTTGTCTTGTTAAAAAACGAATAACAATTAAATACAATTGAACCTTAATTCATCTCAGTTTTAGTTTTTTAGCTGTAATATATGTCTCAAAAAATAAGGAGAAAATGAATTTGAGAAATGCAGGTATTTCTTCATAATTGATCATTTTTATAACACGCAGAAGTCCAGAATTATAGCAAAACTAAATCTTAAAAAGATAAGAAATAATGATAAAAATCAACTAAATATTATGTGGAAGCTGGAAAGGAAATGTAAAAAGTCTTAAATAATAAAGTTATTCAAACATATAATTGAAAATTCAACACAACAGAAATGGGGTGAAGCCTGCGAGCTAGTTCAGGCAGTCAACTCGAGCACCAATCAGACATTAACACGTGACGCACCTCGTCCCTCCTACAACCAACCAAACACATTCTCCTGAACATGCCGCTCTATTTAAGCTGCCAGCTTCCCCCCCAGCTTCCACCCCAGCTTCCACCCCAGCTTCCACCCCAGCTCCCACCCCAGCTCCCACCCCAGCTTCCACCCCAGCTCCCACCCCAGCTCCCACCCCAGCTTCCACCCCCAGCTTCCACCCCCAGCTTCCACCCCCAGCTTCCACCCCAGCTCCCACCCCAGCTCCCACCCCAGCTTCCACCCCAGCTTCCACCCCAGCTTCCACCCCCAGCTTCCACCCCAGCTTCCACAGAATTAAGTGTTACAGGGATATATTTGTAGGCTTTTAAAGTACAAAATAATGTATTCTCTCAGTATCTTTCTGGTTTATTCATTCCTTTCTGTTGATATTGTTATTTTCTTGTTTTTCTCCGGGTCACACGTTTTCTTCTACGGACTCAGAAAACCAACACTTCCTGTTGCACACATCTAGTTGTATGCAAGATGCCTGAGTTCAGGTTAAACAACACATCTTCAGGGTGAGTATTTCAATCAGGAGAGACTTCATTTGGTTTAAAGAACATTTATTGACACATGCCATATGATGAATGTTAAGTCTTTGGCGATTAGACCCCGATCCTGAAATCGTATATCTAAAGGGGGAAATGCAGCCGTGAGCATATAGGGAACCCCCCGGGGTCTAGACACTGGTGATGATGCTGAAGATCTGGATTTGATGAGGAGATGGGATGAAGAGGGGGATGTGATGAGGTCTTTGGATTAGCTCTCCTGGCACTGGATGTGATGAAAGGAGGTGGATGGGGAGGAGGCGGGCGGCAGCATGACAACCTGAAATCACGCTGACTGCAGGAGAGAGGAGAACCATTTTAAAGTTTGGCTGCAGCACGCTGATTGGCTGCTGAGATTGAGGTGAATGTAATAGGTTAATTGAAAGCCTGTGATGAGCTGATTATAAGCAGCTGCGGAGTGAATGTATCCCAGTCTTCCTGAAAGAACTTGCGCTGAGCTTCATTTAGGCCTTAGTAGATCTTATCTTCTACTTTGCAAATGCATTTTGTACACTGTCCCTGCCTGCACCATGTCCAATGTTGTCTCTGTTGACAACCTACTAGGTGATTAAACTGATCTTGTATCTTGCTTATTTCTCCTTAGGAAAGCGGGCACGGGATGACAGCTTCCTTGACACCATCATGGCGATGGAGGACCGCCGAGCCATGGTCAGCAAGGAGAATGAGGACCTGCGTGCCAAGGAGATGCACGACGAACGGCTGCTGCATTCACACAAGGCCCAGGAATCGGACGACCAGCTGCTCATGGTAATGCCGCACCATGCTGACTCGGCGGCGCGCCAGGTGGAGGTGTCAAAATACCTTTCAGGCTGGGCTTCTGGCAGTGCTAAGCGAGCTGATTAAATCCAACAGGCCTTCAATAAAAAAATAAATAAAAACTTGTCGTCGTTGATAAACTGTACAATGACTTGTTGGGAGGTGTGTTGTGCAGTGGTCTGGTGCGTTGGTGTTCGGATCAGGGGAGCACAGGTTCAAACCCCACTGCAGTCAGGATGTCGTTGTGTCCCTGGGCAAGACACTTCACCCGAAATTGCCTACACCTGGGACAGTTCATTTTGTATTATTGTGATTATATATATGCCACTGTTATTAATACTGACACTTCACTTTGCACTAAGGTGTGTCTGCTGCTGAGCCTACCTATTGTTATTATCAGCGACGTGCAGTCAGTGGAGGCAGGGGAGGCAGAGCGTCACCTGTCATACTCCAATGTAACGGAAAAACAATTAAAGAAAAACGAAATAATAATAATAATAAAATGTCTCCACTGATCTGTGTTGTAAATGTGATTTCTGTATGATTCCAATCGCATTTTATAGTCAAAATCAGCAAATTTGCCGAGCTCCGCTACGGGAGCGATGACAAGTGAGGCAGGCACGAGCTCTGCCTCTCGTAAGCCCACAGTAACTTGCTGGAGCGCGGGCACTAATTTAGCGCGGCCACTTATTTTGTGAGCGCGCTCAAGCCAGTTACTGTGGGGTGAGGTGAGGCACAGATGAGATCTGCCTCACCTCAGAATGCGTCACCCCACAGAAACTTGCTGGAAAGCAGGCCCTAAGCGCATGCCTGTTACCATCTCACTGTAGGTCACCAATGTAATGTTTGTAGATCCCTTTATTACATTTATCCTCGCCATCCATAGTCTCTAAATAACTTATTTCACGTATATATGATATTTAGGCTCGCTGGTCTCATCGTACAACGGCAATGAAAAAAGCACCAGGGGAGGCAGCCATAACCTCTGCCGCACTGAAGGGGGCGCACGTGAGCCCACAGGTTCTTGTTGCTACTGTTATTCTACCGCAAACAACAAACTAGACTTTTGAAACTACAGGAAGATAAGGAGGACTTTTACAAAACAGTAATAGAGATTGTTGTCCAGAAGGATAGCATGGACTTATATTCATCTTCAAGTCAAGGTAAGACCACAACTGTAATGAAAATGGGATCTTACTTAGAAAGAACAATCCAATATTTAGATTTTGGGTATCCTTTTGTTGATCGGTCTGTTTAAAATTAATCATAGCATCAGACTAAAAAAGCTTTTGAAAATAACAGAATATTTCGATTAAGGTCAAAATAGGCTATAATATTTGTAAATCTGACTGAAAGAGTCAGTGCCTCACCAGCCATGAACCTCACCGCACGTCACTGGTTATTATATATATATATATATGTTTTGATACTACTGACACTTTATTTGATATTGAAAATGTTAACTTCTATTTACATGCATACGACACACCTGGGACAGCGTGATGCTGTTATTGATATTGTCTTGAGTGTGCAATAAAAGAGAACCTACATGGCGATTAAACAGATCCTGTATCTTACATTTTTCATTACATTTCATGTAACTAAGCTTGCTTATTTCTCCTCTGACACGTAATCTTTACAGTGACCTGTGTAGCATCCTATACATCACATGTAAGTGATTATTCTGATACCATCATGTTTCATCGGTTATAAACTGGCGAAGCTTTATTTATTGTGGCTTTCAAAAAGATAATTTCATTGTATTTCAAAATGGCGTCCATCTATTTATAGAAAGAGAAATGGTTAAGTTTGTTATTACCAGTGTTGTGAGTTCAATATTTTTAATTAATTATAGTAAGGGAACATCTTAGGAGTTAGTGTAGTGAGTTTCAGAGCAGTGTAATCATTATTTGACCTAAAACTAAATATTTTTATGAACATGGGGATTTGCTAACTTTTGATTTCCCCCATCTTACACGACACAAATGGAGGCCACTATGGGCCACAACTAACACGTAGGTTTCTGTAGGGTTCATGGCAGACGGATGCAGTTGCTCTCAGGAGGATATATAATAAAGGTGTGTTTGCTGCTGAGCCTATTTAGTGTGCATACGACACACCTGGCACAGTTTATTCATTTCAAGGTTCAAGGTTCAAGGTTCAAGGTTCTTTATTGTCAAACTAACATAGCTACAGAGTAATTATGTCGTTGAAAATCTTATGTCACAGGCTTCTCCAACAATGCAACATAATAATACAGATAGTAGTAATAAAAAAAGAAAAATAGTTCTAAAATAAAGTGAGTATGTGGAATAGTGCAGTACGAGTCTATATACAAGTTATTGGAATGATATATATTAGATAGTAGATATATATTACTAAGTAGAAGATGAATGTTTTGAAATTGTTTCAGCAGTTCAATTGTTTAACAGTCTCACTGCCCGCGGGAAGAAACTGTCTCCGAATCTTCTTGTCCTTGCCAGGATGCTGCGGTAACGTCTGCCAGACGGCAACAGAAAGAACAGTTTGTGGCTGGGGTGATGGGGGTCTTTGATAATCCGTAGGGATTTCTTCCTGAGCCGCTGGGAGTAAAGGTCCTCCATGGATGGCAGCTCCGTCCTGGTGATGTGCTGTCATTTCACACAGGTTACGCAGAGCGCGTGCATGTCGTCGTCCAATCCTTTTGTCAATCCTTCTTAACCGCCTTCGCCTCCGAATCAGCATTGCTATTGCATTTGACTGGTCGACGATCTGTATTTGTGTTTGCTTAAATAACTCAGACGAAGCTCATGTCTGAGGTCGGAAGGTAAACAGACGCCTCATTTACAGCAAGTGGGCGCGGCAGGTTTTTCTTCTTCTTTTTCTCTCGGTTTTTTGACGGATTGCAACTTTAAGGTGCATACCGCCACCTACTGTACTCGCCGTGAAGTTGTTTGCGGCCTGCCAGTAAACCCAAAGCAGAAGAAGAAGAAGTGACGTCAGCGGTTCATTTGCCTAATCCACCCCCAGGAACTCATTTTGGTGTGAACGCGATCTGCTTTAGTTCATCAGAACTAAAAGAGCTCTCATGAACTAAAGTTCTCATGAACTATTGTGGGAAAAGTACTTGGTGTGAACGCGCCTATTGACTTCCTCGGACACCGCGTCACCAAGGGCGGTGCAGCACCCCTGCCGGCGAA